TTTTTTTTTTTTTTTTTGTGTAACAAATGTTGGAATTGAGTAAAGATTTTCTATCAAGGCCACCTTTTATAGCAAAAGAGGTTTAGTAATGGAGAAAAAACCAAAATATTTCATTAAATGAAGTGAATGTTTTCAATATTTTTTCTTCTATGCCTACCTATGCAAATGTTGTTGGTTGTTGAGGATTTTGGATCCTTTCTAATATTTCAAAATCTTATCAAAGCAATTTTTTTGATCTTCATCTTTTTCAAACCCTTATCAAATTGGTTACAATATGTGCATACGAAATATGTATAGCTACTATTTGGTCTGACTTGGTCTATCTGGGGCTATCACAACCAGGGTGGTTAGATAAAATTAGTAGTTTAAAATCAAATTTTATAAACTTTTTAATAAAATTAAATATATATATATATATATTTTGATTTGAAAGTTATTTTAATTTTATGACTTGTTGAGATGCAAAATCGGACCCCACTTATGGGAAACTAATGGGTTTATTGTTGTTGTTGTTGAGATGCAAAATCATTAGTTCCCGTTTGGACATAAAATTTGGGAGCTTTTTTTTCAAATTTTGTTTTTAAATATCTGTTTGTTTATAGATTTTTATTATTTTTTGGCATATTTTGAAAACAAATTTTTTAAATCCTAAAAACAACTCTAGAGTAGTTTTTAAAGTTTTCTGCTCGTAAAATTTAAATTCTTTTCAATAAAATGCATGTCCAAATATAATTTCAATACAGTTTTTTTTTTTTTTGACAAATAATCTGTTCCTTTTTTTTTTTGGTGCAAGGTAGCAATGCTAGCTTCTTCCAGAATATTAGCATACCATTTTTTTATCTTAAAAGAATTTATTTTTCATTATTTAATACCCAAATTTGGACATCATTTGTGAGAAGTCAGCAATTGAGAGCCCTGTTCATAAACCAGCGTGAAAAGAAGTCAAAAAATTTCTGTTATAGATGATTTCACTATAGAAGTCAACCACTGAGGTATACACACTATCAGCCTTGGTTGACCAAGACAAGGATCTGCTTCAGGAGAATATTATGTTAAAAATTAATAAATTAATTATTTATTTGGGGAATCAAATTTTATTTTATTTTTGATTTAGAAATTTTCAAATTTAAAAATTTTAACTAAAAATTGAGACCCCCAAAATCTCTAATTTTGTTGGTTTTTCTGGAGGTTGTATATATTATGTGAAGATTTTGTTGATATATTTTTAAATGAAATAGTACTTTGAGTTATTGTAAATATAATTTGAAATAAATTCAAAAATAGCCAGACTTAAAGTGGTCATTCAAAAATAGTCACAATTTCAAAAGTAATCGTATTTTAGCCACTTTTCATGTAAAGATAAATCTGAATCAAAACACTGTTCAAAATCCGGCAAAATACTCCAGAATATTATACTGGAGTTCCAGCATAAGTATACTGTCGGTCCAGCATAATATACCTCCAATCTCCAATATATTATACTGGAACTTTCTGCATGTTGGAGTTCCAGCATAATATACTCGAAGTTCATATACATGTCAACCGATCTCCGGTATATTAAGCTGGAACTTTCCGTGTTGCAGCAAAATAATGGCTATTTTCAATAATTTTATAAATATTGATTATTTTTAAATGACCAATCCAAAAACTAACTAGCCCGTACTATTTTTACTATAAATTTTATTTCGTATTTTGTAAAGCCAAAAGTTGGTTATTGAATTGGGCCGAAAGGCACGCTTGATATCATACATGGGCTCAAGATCATGCTTTTGCTGTTAAAATTTTATGGTATAGCCAGTTTTCGCACTGATCAGTAAAAAATAGCCAGCATTTACCAAGTCAATAAAAAATAGTCTCTATTTTGCTGTAATAGGGACCGGTCCCATATAATATATGGGAGTTCTAGTGCATTTTTGTACGAACTCCAATATATTTTACTGGACCGATATACTTTAGTAACTCCTGTATAATATACGGGAGATTGGAGCACCAATGCTCCAAACTCTAGTATATTATACTGGACATTTATACTTGCTTGAACTCCCGTAAAATATGCGGGAGTTCCAGCATAATTATGCTTGAACTCACGTAAAATTTGCAGGAGTTCTAGCATAATTATCCTGGAACTCCCGTAATATATGCGGGAGTTCAAGCATACTTATGCTGGAACTCCAGTAAAATTTGCGGGCGTATTTTCTCAGATTTATCTTTACATAAAAAGTGGCTAAATTTCGATGACTTTAAAACTTGGCTATTTTTTAACGATCAGTGGTAAATCTGGCTATTTTTAAATTTCTCCTGCTTTTGCTAGTAACAAGTCTAGGGCTTGATGGAATAGCCTGCAGTCTAATAGGCTATTTGGCAAAACTTCTACAGATTATTTTGAAAAGTGTTTTTGAACAATAATTAATATTTGGCCAAGCTTTAAAAAGTGTTTTTAAGTATTTTTTTTTTAAATATTTTTCGTAAAAGTACTTTTGGGGAGAAGCTATTTTTTTTGCTTTTCAAAAATTATTTCTACTTTTACTCAAAAATATTTTTTCTGTCCTTCTAAAAGCTTCACCGTCACTTTAACATTAGAAGAAGAAAAAACTTTTGGCCAAACATGCTATAAAACTGAACTTTTGGTGTTTTTCTCACGATATCATATTAACATCTTCCAATCAATCAACAAAAATCAAGCTTTATGTGACAAATCAATTTTGCCTATTATAGGGACAAGTAGCAAAGTGCAAAGACTGAAGCAAACCAAGAGGGACTATCAATCGAGTTTGATACGAAGCCCATTAATTACCCCGACTAATTCGGATTCGAGTCAAGTAAGCTCACTAAAGTAATGTATTCGACGCAAAATTTTACATGTATCTCTTACGAAGCAATAAATCTCGAAAGAATTTCGATGTTATAATTTAATTTATTTTTTTGAATACTACTTTTATTTGATATGCTTTCTATTTGGAAGAAAATTATATAAAAACATAATTCACAATTTAAATATAATTCTCTAGCATAATTTATTTTTAAGTTTCAACAAGTTAATAAGGTGACACATAATTCACCATACTATACCATGATAACTAATTACTTGTAAATAGTTACTAGCTAATACTGAGCTATTAAATTAATAAATGTTGTATCCCGTAAACGTGAAAAATAAATATTTAGGAAAATAATTACAAAAAAAAATATATGGACTAATATATAATAAAGACATAACAAAAGTTAATAAATAAATACTTTTAAATAAAAAAATATTTAAAATTTACAATCATAGCAATCTTAGTGGATAACGTGAAATAATTTTTATTTAATTTATGACATAAAATGCTCTCAACTTAATGATTTATGATTAAGAAAAAGTAATTTTGAATAGTCAAGATTTATTAAGAAAATTTGAGGATTTACAAGGTTAGTTACACACAATTGCATAAAGTTCTATTAGGCGAGCCCAATACGTTGGGCATTGGGCGTATCCTAGGCGTAAGCCCCGACAGCCGAGGCGTAAGTCTCACGGAACTAAGCCCTTCACATAAACCCAGGGGCATTTTGCGAGTGCTCCGCCCTAAGGCGAGCCCTAATCGAGTCCCAATTATGCCTTTTAAAACAGAGCTATAAACCCATCAAATACTCCAGCCTTTTATGCCACAACATTCTAGTTTAGGAACCTGTGAAAAAGGTTCCTAAAGTGTACGATTAGAAATCATGTGGTTATTAAGTTTGAGATTGCTACCTTTTAAATTCATAATATTTGATCATATTTCTGAATTTATGTAGTAAATTTACCATACTTAATAGCATTGGAGTGAGCAAATAATTAAGAACAATAAGATCAATATTATCATACTAATATTTAAAAGTACCATCTGTCCATCGCGTGGGTTTTAATACCAGTACAAGAGATAAAGTTCAATGGCGGTAACCTATTAAATTAAATTAAACATTATATAGAGACAATAAATCAAACTCGCCAATTGAATAATCAATGATAGGAAAAGTAAAGGCGCATTCAGAAAATGTACTTATTGATCATCCAAAAATAGGAAGAAAAAAAAAAGATATTTTGATTTACAGTAAGTCGAAAATTAGTTTGTCGCTATGAATGATTTCTTTGTTCTTTAGTAAAAGGGACTATAAGGCTATAAGCTTGTATTTCTGGTGCTATTTCGAAATATTAAAATTAATCTACCTCCGTCACCAATCTTATTGGGAGCAAAAATTATATGTCATTGTGAGGTTTACAAGAACGAGATTTTAACAATATCATTACATTTTGTGTGGTATAATTGCAAATCGATCTAGACATCACCATTACAAAATGAACTTAAAAAATAGGTTATTCACAATAAAACACAATATGTGGACACACTAAGCTAGATAAGATTAGGAATGACAATATTCGGGACACCCATGGAAGACAAGATGCGGGAAGCTAGACTTAGATGGTTCGAGCACGTGAGGAGGAGAAGCTTGGATGCACCGGTGAGGAGGTGTGAGAGGCTGGCCTTGACAGGTCTGAGGAGGGGTAGAGGGAGGCTTAAAAAATACTTGGGAGAGGTGATCAGACAGGACATGGTGCAGATGCAGATTTTCGAGGACATGGCCCTTGATAGGAAGTTGTGGAGGTCGAGCACTAGGGTTGTAGGTTAGGAGACAGGAGGCTGGTAGGATAGTGTCTTGCTTTAGGCTGCTAGGGGCTCCAGTTGTGTTCTTAATACTTCTTTAGGGTCGAAAAGTTAGGCTATAATAGGTTTAGCGGCCATGTATGTACATATTATTCCCTTGCGTATGTAGTATTCTGCCGTTGTTGATGCTTAGTGTTAATACTTGACTATATATTTTCTGGTTATTGCATTGTTGGAGTTATATGTTAAGATTCCTTTGGTTTTTTAAAACTGAAATTTAAA